ACTTTTTTCTGTTTTATTCATGATCTGGCGAAAGGAAATTTCACAGCCATCATAGCAGCCTCAAGCATCCGGTTTTGGCGGAAGGTGAGTGAAGCTCATTGAATGAAGAGATAGAGGGAGAGGAAGAGCGAATACAGGACAGAGGGAAGAAGATGAGTTACTTTGTGCCATGACCCATGCAATTAACACCTCTCTGGCCACTCCAAGCATTCCCTCATCATCATCGTCATCATTATCGTTATGTCTCTTGAGATTACTTTCTACGGAATATGCTAACGAGCAGCTCAGAACTAACTTGCACTCTGCAATCGTCTCATTTGGTCAATTTCATACTACTATTATGGGTCATCAACTTATCAGCTTGGGTCGGTGAGGAAAGCCGATAATCCTCATTTCTCAGAGAGTCAAATTTGAAGTGCATTTTGAGTTCAGGCTTAATTCTGTTAGAGGAGACAGTAGTGAGAAGCTGAAAGAACTCTACAAAATAACAAAAACTTCATCTCCTACCTATCCGCTTCAATAAATTATAAATTTAAAACAGCCAGCAAAAAAAGGCTCTAGAAATCCGATAATTTTGAGACATGGGGAAATACTCTGCACTAAAAGCAATATCCTCTATACGTGTATATATATATACATATATATATACATATATATATATATATATATGTATAAAAGTTACGATAGCTAGCCCCTGAAAAATCTCGACGATTAATTAAACGACAGAGGCATTTGCTAGAGAGTGAAAATTGTCTTCAGTTTGCTTTTAAGCAACCCTAGAAGGGAAATTCTTTGAGTTATTTTTTGATTTTGAAAAGCTAAAATTTTAGAGGAATGTTCCTTGACCAAGTACGGCCTAAAGATTTCAAATTCAGCTGCCACATACGTACGGTTCTCACCTTCGGACATTTAGAAGTTTTGGCGGGAAAATTGCTCACTGGACATCTAAGTTATTTTCAAAGGACGACCGTTAAACAGAAAGTTTTTTAATTTCTTTTAATAATAATGACTGTGACAGTTCTTTTATATAAAATTCATGATTATTTAAGCTAGTGAGTCACATAGTTAGCGACCTGACTGGTACATGTTTAGAGCAAAAATGCATGATCGCACCAGCAAGTCTGTTGCATTTTAGCTTATTTCTTTGTGGTTGCTTGGAAATATTTCTGAAGAACTTCGTCTTTTACAGTGAATTCATTAGGAGTAGAGTTTTTGCGACAATACAAGCCTCAGAGTGTCTTGTTCCGTTTCACAGTAGAACGATCCTGTTAGAACGATTCACTGGGGACATCCACGCCATTCTAACGAATTCTTTCGCAGTGACTGGCAAAGGGAGTGGGAGGAGTTACACCGTTGCTGGATGATGCTTCAACTTAGGGATACCCAGTGGGGCTACTCGCTAAATCCCTCCCCTGCTTGATGCTCGTTTGAACCTCGCTCCGGCAATATTACTTTTTGAAGGGGTTCCCAAGCTTCGCCCCTTTCTTCCAGTTCAGCGCACTGAAAGAAGCCATTAATTGTTGACTTCTCTTTTTCCGTTTTTCCCTCTGCGATTCCCAGTACACCTAGTTTGCGAGGCTGCACACTTGTCTTTTGGTCTTAATATTAGACACAAAAGAGATGTGTGCTCGTATTATTGCTTTTATTAGATTCGTTACGATAGTTTTTTTTTCTCAAAATAATTTTTTCTGAAAAGCAAAATAACTAGTTTTTTCTTAAAGTACTAGCATTTTGCATACAAATACTACTATATTATTATTATTATTAGTTATTATTACTGAAGGCATTATGCCTTCACTATTACCAACTAATCTGAGGATAACCAATTGTCACAGTCATTATTATTTTTGCTATTATTTTTTATCATTATAATATAAACAAGAAAGTCTTTTCTCTTTCCCTCTCTGGGTTGATTATCGCCTCTGATCACTTCTCTGGCGATCAGTTACTATCATAATCATTCTTGTCTGTAAGGACAAGAAACAGTGGCTGCCGGCGATCCATGCTGCGGATTTGGCCAGCTTCTCTTTTTGGCCTGGCTGTATACTTCTGATATTTATTGGCCACACCGACCAATGTACACGGTGCTATGCCAACGAAATTCACCCATTTCTTTCTTGCAAGGACTAAACGATGTGTTTAATTTTGCAGAATTATAGGTAATTTTGTTAATTAGTATTGTTGGTGCTGGTGGTCAGGTACTGTGCCGTGGTCAAAATACTCAAATGGTCAAAAAGGCACTCTTTTTTCGCGCATTTCTGCTCCTGAATGTGAAAAATAATGCTTTCATATATCTTTTCCTTCATTTTTTGTGTTTCTAAAGTATTCTTCAGATCAACCTGGTCGGTTTTAGAAACCTGTAGAGCCCAACTCAATACGGCCGATTTGAAGTAGTTATCGAGTCTAGGAAGATGAGATGTGAGCGGCTTTAGAAGCTCTATTAAAAATTTTTTTCTTCCAGAGTGAGATCGATTTATTCTGGCTTCCTAATCCTGATCGAAAAAAGGATCCATATTTTTTCTCGATTTTTATTACCAGGGAGTCGAACATTGCAAGGATCTTCTAACATTCTTTTGAAAAATTCTGTTCGTTCTGTTTGATTGAAAAGTCTGAACGTTCTGCAGACAACTAAGACTACTAAATACATAAAGTGCAATAATCTATTCTTAAAATCCACAAAGATGTGCAAGATTTTTGATTTTTCTAAGCGTTTCTTTTTTTTTGTTCCAATAAGCGCAGCATATTGTCGAGATTTGTTGAACCGTGCAAAAGTAAAGCGTACTTCGAACATCATAGGACTTTGAGATATCCCAAATTTTGGCCGCAGGATTAGAGCATAAATATATCATATTGTTAGGATTAAAAATGTGCCAAATTTATGTGGGCAATTTGGCACATTTGTAATCCTGACAATATGATATATATAAATGATTGTATTTTTTTTCTCTTTAAAAAAATTTCCGGGCATTTAATTGCTTGCTGAAGATTACAAAACCCATCTTTTTTTTGATAAATCAATACAGAAAATCCCCTATATTTTTATTAATATTTATAATTTACACATTTTTTCAATAATTAGAGATTCTTTTACAACTTGCTGATTGCTTCGATATGTCAGTGAAGTGGTTGCCACGGCGAATATAGCGCAAATCGATGTATACATTTCATTTCATTTCGTACTTCCGAGTTCTATGAATAGATTTCGTTCAGGAGAACATGAATTCAAGCAGTTTGATTGCAAGGTGGCTATGCTTCTGATTCTAATCCTATTTTTTCCACAGTTATGTCTTGCTACATGTCCTGATGTTGCTGCATGTATTGCACGGGTGAGAAAAATTGTCGCGGAGCCACGTCACTACTGGTTCGGTGAGCAGTGGCGTGAAACGTGTATTGGACGTCACGTTGATCCAATCCAGTGTTACAATCCCAAATCGCTTCAAACATTCCATAGCCTCGGGAGTCGTTTATTTCGTGTGCAAACCTATCAAAATGATTATCTCCGAAATTTGCGGATTTTTCCGACCATCTCCTACAGATCAGAAAAAGGTCCCTAGCTGTTTTTTTCTTCAATTTTGAAAGTTTCTTAGAATGAGTTTCCGTTTTATTTTACCGTTTGGGTAACCTCAACGAAGCAATTACCCTGTTTTGCCCTTTTTATGCCATATTTGATGCGAACCTCAGTGGTGTTGTAGCCAGTAGTACCATTCTCATTTTACAGTTTATGCGAAGTTTTGTAAATCATATCCTTTGTTGATAATTCAAATTTGTCTAGGATCTTCAGTTTGCTGGGAGTTAACCTCGCTTTCAAGTAATCGGACCAGAAGTACTCACACCGATCGTTTGGGCAATCTTGGCATTCTTCGCAATAAAATAATTTAATCAAGCAAAAGAACGAAGCCCGAGTCTTAGGCTAGTTTTTAGGTACCATTATAATCTTTCTTGTCTTGCAGACGGCATCCAGACATATCGTGCCTGTGATCATGATTTTACTGTAAAGAGTAACGGCGGTGTTGAAATGACTGAAATACATCCTGATATGGAAGCTGTGAAACCGTTTGATGTCCGGTATGCCCCGGATGTACAATGGACTGGGATTTACAATCATAGCTATTTGATTCTAGCCATCGACGTGGGCTTCGGGACGCTTAATTACCTCGCTTTACGATCTCCGTCCGGTGATAAGGTAAGAACTTTTATTGCAAAACGAGTTTGCTTTCTACTTCTACGAGGTTAATTCGTTATTAACAGTAGTGGAATATAAATAGCCATGTGGCGAAAAAATTTCACAAAATTTTACGATACAACTCAAATTTTGGCATGCTTATGTGCTTACAGCTAAGGAATGAAACATAGACTGTCCTCTAATATGCTCTTAGTACACACGGTCTTTGGATCCATAATCCTTGATCTTAGTATTCAATATAAATTGTAGTTTTTGTGACATTCAAAAATTTCAGTATTCAAAAATTAGTAGTTACGGAGTTAGCCTTAATTTGAACTTCAAGCCATAGGTCAAGATACTTCAAAGGTTGGGAAACTGCCTCTTTTTTCAAGTTATCTGCTTCAAATCAGTTAAAGATTAGGTCCTTCAAAATTTTTAGCTTGTAACTTCCTTGCTTATCAAGTTTTTGTATTGTTCTGTATTTAGGCTTGAGATTCTAGGAAGTGACACACTAACTATTAGGACTGATTTCGCTGTAAAAAGAATTAATCCATCAAAAAAGCCTTTTTGGTTCTTGATTTGTGAAATTAATTTGGACTTGGTCCTGAAATTACAGATTAGTGCACGGGAAGAAACGTGATTGGGCTATTAATTATTAGGCCAAAACATTAGGCCATCAATTATTTTATCTTTCTAACCTTCGTAGTTTAATTATCAGAACATGCACACACATAGACACACACAATTGCACCCATAGGCCTAGGCCTCGTCTTAATGCGTTTTCATTTCCATAGATGTAAAAATTGGCCAGCGCACGGGCTGCCCGTGCGAAGATGCGTTTTTTGCAGAGTTCCCCGCAGTTT